AAATCCGAGTTTACCACATTTATTTAGTTTTATTTAAATGAAAAATATAAATTTCTTTTTATTAACCTATGTGTGACTGTATAATCTAGTTCACTAAAAGCCAAATCCCAACCACCCACTCACACACGACTAGAGATTCCAAAGGTACCTACTATAATGGGACTAGAGGACCCAAGGGGTATCTCCTTATAATAGGACTTGAGGATCCACGGATAATTCTCATAATAGGACTTGAGGAGCCAAGGGTATCACCCTATATTGGGACTTGAGGACCCAAGGGTACCCCCTATATTGCGACTTGAGGACACAAGGGGATCCTTCTATATTGGGACTTGAGAAGCCAAGGATACCACCCTATATTGGGATGTGAGGACCCAAGGGTATCCTCCTATATTGGGACTTGAGAAGCCAAGGGTACCACCCTATATTGGGACCTGAGGACCCAAGGGTACCCCCTATATTGAGACTTGAGAACCCAAGGATACCCCTTATAGTAGGACTTGAGGACCCAAGGGTATCCCCCATATTGGAACTTGAGGATCCAAGGGTACCCCTATATTGGGAGGTGAGGACCCAAGGATACCCACTTATAATAGGACTTGAGAAGCCAAGGGTACTACCCTATATTGGGACTTGAGGACCCAAGGGTATCCTCCTATATTGAGACTTGAGAACCCAGGAGTGCCTTTTCTATATTGGGACCTGTGGAGGCAAGGCTACGGGAAGGGGGCCGGGTAGGGTTAGAAGACCGTAATCGGGTAACTGGTATCGTAGCGGTAACTGCCCCCGTATTCCCGATTATGTCTCTAGCATCCCAGGTGATGTTACTAGCACTCCAGGTGATGCTACTCTAATCCCAGGTGATGCTACTAGCATTCTAGGTAACGCTACTACCATCCCAGGTGATTCCTTAAGTGAGCTGGAAATGTTCAGTTTACACAGATCGGAGCTCATTTCTGAACCGTGAACTTTATAACCTGAATTGAGGTCAATGAGTAAAACGTGGAGGCGTAAGTGAGCTCCAAATTTGGAATTTTTCGCAGTTTGGAGCTCACTTTTCTTGACCAGTTGATAGACACTCTGTACATACTGGTGCATTCCATCTGTCAGCTTCTTTTCTGTCATGCTCACGCCTCAACTTTTGAAAACCACGACCCCATCTATACTCGATCTAGAAATCATCCACATCTATCCAACCATCGATGACGAACTTACCCACTCATTAATGCTTACTTACTGCATGCGCGCACACTGATCAAGTGTTAAATCATCGGTCACGAAATATGAAAAAATGCATTCTGTGACGTCAATCCCGTTGCTACGCATATGACACGAAATCGACAAGTAAGCCTTAGCAGTCTCAATTTTCAGCACGAGATCTTGTCTTTTCCTAAGAACTCCGACACTTCCCTTCGAAACTGTTACATAGCACCCAGCATGACTAAATATTTAAATCTGGAGAGCGTCGCACGCACATTTGTCAAAAAGACCATTGAATTGCAAGTCGTTTTGTTTATGTTTAGCGTTACATACTGATCCAAAGCATTGGAATGTTGATGAAGTCTGTCAATGGCTACGTTCTCTGACGAAGATTAATAAAGATTACTCTGAAGATTTTCGCACTCATGGTATTGACGGTGAAATTTTACTAGATGAAGTCGACCATGAAGTGCTAGAAAATGTGGGCGTAACTTCTGTTTTACACCGAAATTTGATTCTAAAAGGCATTGACAGATTAAGAAACGAGTGTTCTTCATTCTCAGCATCAAATGTATCTGCCATAACTATGACAAAGAAAAAATTTCATGAAGAGTTCGAAGGTGACTTTACTCCTCTGTTGCCTATGAATGAGCTAACATCGGATACAGTCACCTACTCCAATGTATGCAGCTGTCAGCTTACTAGACAAGCGCATCCTGAAATTGTATCGCGAATTTATAACTGGCTCGGAACTTTGCCTACAGGCTACAAAGTTCATAAAATTGAATTTGTGTTTAATTCTGGCCTTTATCGAAATTTTCTTGGACAAATAGAGATTGTAGAGAATCGCCAAAACCAGCCAGAATTTCAGCCAAAACTTGATCACGAAAACTGTCGAAAAGAACGTGAGCAGATCTTGGAACGTCTGGATACACTATGTGAACAAGTCTCACATAATCGTCGCTTACGTATTGCACGCATGTGGCATGGATGCAAAAGAACGGTGTTGCCAAGTCTTTTGTCCAATGGCTTTGCAGCCATGGGAACTTTAGACGATGGGTGGTATGGCAAAGCTATGTATTTTACGTCTTCGGCTAAATATGCAACCCGATACAGTGGTAAACATGGCTGCTTAGTTATGTGCTATGTACTGTTATTGAATCCCTTCCCGGTTGTTACAGCAGACGCAGGGTCTCATATACCACCAGAGCGTTTCCGTTTTTATGGTAAAGGTAATTATAAGAACTATCAGTGTCATTATATACCTGTTTCACCTGTTGGCGGCAAAGACACAATGGATTACCGCCCACCACCCTCAGGTGACGTAGATGATGCTGCATATGATGAACTAGCGATTTTTCAAGAAGCACATGTTCTACCACAGATTGTCATACATTTTGAATAAACTCAAAGACCTCTAAATTTTTCCATATGCTCACAAAGAAGGGTGTGGGTGTAGCCGTGACTGTGGTTGTCGCTGCAAGTGTGAGGTAGGGGTGTGGATGTACAGGGTGGGATGTGGATCTCCTCTTAATACACGCCGACACTCTTATTCATATCATAATACAAGTATTTTCAAAATTTGTTATCTCGATGAATGATATCTTATCAGACGTCAGTAAATTCAAGATAATACAGTGCAGAACTTTCAGGAAGATAAAGGAACACACACACAGTTGTTTTGTGCTTATGAAGTGATAGTTGATCTATAGAGCTTACACAAGTTGTCTTTCGACTATTAATGTTTTCAAAAGCTGAATTATAGAGACATCACCTACAATTAGCTGCGTATTCGTTTGGTTGAATTTTATTACCTTCATATTTACTTTTTTTTTGTAAATATTCATGTTGTTGAACAGTCTTTTAGCTACACATTTATGATCGATATTAATGATTTGACATCAAATAGTGATGAAAATTATAGAATAGAACTCCTGTTTTAATCATAAGTTAGCGCTCATCCTACGGATTCGCTCACCCTTTTCTGAAAGAAAGTATCTGGCATTCCTCGAGATTTGTGGGTGTGGGGTGTGGGTGTGGGTGTGGGTGTGGGTGTGGGTGTGGGGTGAGGGTGTAGGTGCGGACTCCGATGTAGATGTTAGTTCTCATTTCACCCACACCCACCCACATCCCACACACACCCACACCCACACCCACACCCACACCCACACCCACACCCATACCCACACCCATACCCACACCCTCACTATCTTTACGCATTGGAATCACTGTCTGAACTATATGATTTTATATCAGTTTGAAGTACGCGTCACGAGCTTTCGAATGGTATACTTTCGATTAGCATTCTCTTTTGTATTAGTAAAAATATCAGTATGAGAATTTAATGATAAGTTTTTCAAAATCGATCAATATGATTTTATTCTAAAAATTTTTCGATGAATTACTGTACATATGTTACAAAAAAACAACATAGCATATACCATAGCTAGTTCTCTTATTCTTTCATTTCACGCTCATTATGAATCACCAGTTACATAACGTCTGGTGCGAAAGTTTCTAGACAAAATATTTGTTCATTTTTCACCTTTTTGGAAGTATCCTAGGCGCGTGAAAAGCTATGGGTTAGAACCAGAATTTGATGCTCTTTCCGAATATGGGCTCAGAAATTATTTCGCAGATCTTATTTGAGAGTAGTGAGACAATCTTTGAAAGACTCAAAAAATTAGTTTGGACGGAAAATTTTTCGGCACATTTTTGTATTTTTACTATTGCGAATTAAAACTAAAAGTTGAAACCTTTATTGATATATTACCTTGTAGCGCAGAAGTTACTCTACAAAATGTACTATGTGAGATTTTCTTACTCTTTCGATAATCCACCTGAATTTTCGTTTTTCCTGTACCTTCATTTTTGAAAAATCGACTTTTTGACCAAAACCGTTTTATGCAGAAAGGAGCTCATGGCAAAATATCTATAACTTCGCTTGAATAAAAGCTACTGCTTAGTTCAATATCACATTTTATGAAGAAATGTTCGCTCTCCAAAACCACCAAGTCCGGCCATTTTTAGTCTTTTTGAAAAAGAACTTATAGGGGTTAGCAAAAATCTACTGTTCTTCATCCAAACTAATCTCTTGAGCCTTACAAAGATTCACTCACTACTTTTGAACAAAAACAGACACAAAATTTCTAAGCACATATTTAAAAAGAGCTCAAAATTCTGGTTCTGGCCCATAGTTTTTAACTCATATGAAATACATTTAAACAGAACAAAATAAACTAATACATACTTCAGAGGCAACAGTCCACTTGTTCCGTCCAAATTTATTTTTTAAGCCTTTCAATGATTCCCTCACTACTCTGGCGCAAAATCAGATTAAAAAAATCTGAGTTCATATTCAGAAAGAGCATAAAATTCTGATCTTGACCCACCGATTTTTACTCGTCTACAATACTTTCATGTAGATCAAAAATGAAGAAACATTTTGTCCAGAAACTTTCGCACCAGACGTTATGAAGTCAAGCTTTACACTCTATGAACGTGTTGAGTTAGATAAAAGATATGAACTTGTCACGTGCATAACGAAGAATAATATGTGGTGCAAAGAACGAAAAAATGTTCGTTTTACCGATGTCGTTCGCCTAGTTTCTCGTTCACAACGATCATTAATAACTTGACCGATCATTTCAAAAGTCGTTTTCGATAAGATAAAAATAAACCATGGAAAAGGAACTGTTGCATTCTATTAGTTTGTTTTATTTTTAATTTTATTTCAGTTTGTTCCGAGTTTTTTCCGCTTTTAATACTCATTTCGATATTTTCGATCTATTCTCGTTGTTATGACTCCTACATCAGCTCGTCGACAAGAAAAATTATCTTTTCGAACATTTGTATTATTATTATTACATCATCAAAATCCGAGTTGGTCTGTATCCAATATTGCTGACTTCTTCGAACACTCAGAAAATCCATCAAATTTAAACCGACATGGTTTAATGAACAAAATTAATTATTTACTAAAACGGGGATCAATTCACGATAGGAGAAGATCGGGCAGACCACGAACTACCACAACTACAGCTTCTGAAAACATAGTCGTCAAAGAAATTCAAGTGAAAAACAATGCTATAGTCCGAACAATCAAAAGTGGGAGTAAAAACTTGATTTTTTTTTGTATTTATTTTCATTCCATGATGATATGTTCTTTCGATTTTCATATACTATAGACTGATATAGACTGGTCATATCTCTACCATTATAATGCTCTAGTAGTCCTCTATCTATAGTGTATATTTCAGATTTTCATCTCTGTGTACTGGTGCGCTATCGCCGTATAATTTCAAGTATAGTGATTTTCATAGGCTATTACCAGTTTGATTTTCATTTGCTTATTGTAGCTTGTTTAATATATTTCTTATATGGTACGTATACAAGAGACTATGCACTAATATATTCCTGGATAACTTTTTATATTATGCTTTCTTTTTTGGATTATGACATATAGAATTCACCTGTTGATAGTATGAGTGGTTCTGGTGGGGAAAGACAGGGTGCTGACAGACCTATATTACAAAAGAAAATACTAAAGCCTAAACATAATAGTACAGCATCATGTGCACATTGGTACAATAGATAAATTAATAGTCAAACCTTCTACTGTAGCAATAAATAGCTCTGATATTATTAATGATCAGGTGAATGAACTTGGTGCTTTTATGGGTGAAATGGAGGATGAATATGTAGAACAAGAGAAAATTGAAGATGAATATAGCTCGTAATACGACAAGGTTCACCCTGCTATATAGACATATAATTGGCTTTTGTTAAGTACTTTTATGTATATTATACCATCGGTTTTATATAACATGAATTTCATTCCGGCAGGGCATATATTACCTTTCTTCTTTCTGCTTCTTTCTTTTGATGTGTTTGTTCTATATTGTATTGGTTCATGTTATCAGATACTCCTAGTCATGTTCTATGTTCCTATGTAATAGCACACTATAACTCCTTAGTATAGTATTAAAATAAAACTTAATGTGAACATACCCTCAACTCCTACTTTTGATTGTTCGGACTATAGTGTTAGAAATGTATCGGCAAAATTAAAACGACAAGGGTGGAAGACATTACGGTCGTCAGTTCATAGGGTAGCAAAATCAAGCGGATTGAAATGGTTTAAAAAAAAGAAAACACAAAAATTAACATATGATAACAAAATACAACGTGTTCAATGTGCCAAAGTTTTACGAAAAAAGTTTGGTGTTTCGAAAAGATCGAAAAAATGGCGATGGAATGAGCTCATTAATACCGATTTTTCTGGGAAATTCACTTTAGAATCACTATCGAATCCACATAATGCAGGTGGTTGGGCAAGAAATGCTGCAGAAATACCACTATCAATTCGCAATCGTCCTCGAAATAAATTCGCAATTGGTGTTGTTTTTTGGGGTGGCATCTCATATGACGGATTGATTCCAAAAAATGGTCTAATTGATGTTACATCTTGGTTAAAAGCTCAAGTGAAGGAAAATCGACCACAAAAAACTTATATGAATCGTCGACTGTATGCGAAGTTTATTAAAGAAGTTGGTTACAAGCACATTCGAAAGCTAAGTTCAACAGAACTTTTATTCCAAGATGATCCTGATACTAAACATAGGACAAAACATGTATTAGAAACTATTGATAAATTATTTATTGACCGAATTTTACCTCAAGAAGGTGATGCAAAATTTGCGGATGTACGGCCTATCGAAAAAGTGTGGGGAATACTAAAAGAAAAAGTACCAGGAGAACAATTTTCGAGTTTTGAACAATTGGAAGTTAGAGTGAATAAGAATGGAAGAAAATTACCCATGACGACTGTAAAAAAATGATTCATGATATTCCAGAAAACTTGGTAATGTGATAAAAAATAATGGAACGCAGATATGAGCTCGCTAGACAATATTATTTTATGTTCAGATTATCATATGTTTTCATAAACTAGATTAATTCTGTTCTTTTTTCAATAAAATATGATATTGATCGATTTCGAAAAACTTATCATTAAATTCTCATACTGATATTTTTACTAATACAAAAGAGAATGCTAATCGAAAGTATATTATTCGAAAGCTCGTGACGCTTACTCTTCAACCTGATATAAAACCATATAGTTCAGACAGTGATTCAAATGCGCAAAGGTAGTGATTTTGTGGCGCCTCCAAACTTATGAGACACTCTGTAACAACACCCACACCCACAGCCACCCACACCCACACCCACACCCACACCCTGTCATCTCAATTAGACTTGATCATTACTCCATTTTAAAGGAGAATATCGAATTTAATTTCTAAATTAATTACAATGACTAGACACATTAATAAGACAAGACGACAAAAACAGCTAAGATACTAAATATCTGCATTGTATTTTGGATGTGGTGACCAGATTCGCTGTTAAAATATATTACGTATGAATGAGGTCTCCGTTCTAAAACTAATGAACAAAGGACTTTGTGCGTACAGAATGGTATGAATACTGAGATTATTTTCAGTTATGATTTGCATAGCATATGATGTTTTTAAAAAAAAATCCCTAAATTGAAAAATCCCTAAATCAAAATCCCTAATTGGTGACCAGAATTAATCATAATTCCTTAATTATCCACAAATGTGGATACGATTTGGGGATGAATCTCGGGATAGCGATTTGTGGTAAATGATAGACATTCTAAATTAAATATGTTCAGAGATGATGGTTAATCTTAAACCATTAAATGGAACATTGATATTAATTTAATAATAGTACACTAAATTGTGCATTGTAAATTCGTACTGTTTGCGCTTATGAAAAATGGGAACGTATGGAGCATAATGACGACTAAATTTCATCGTGTCTTGAGTGTGAGTCTAGATTTTTCTTCTCAAACACTAAAAACTCACACCTACACCCTTAGATATTAACGATAGTACGTGAGTGTGCATCAAGAACCATAAAGAGAAATCACATGGATGTACGATAATGAACAGTTCTTATTCATCCAAATTTGTCAACTCAATAGAAGACTAGAGACAACAGATTGCAAAAAGCAATTAATGAAATCCAATCACATTCGAAAAAAAGAAAAAACACAGCCTTGATTTTCTTCAGCACTCTTTTGTTTACAATTTCTACTTTCACATTGTCACTCACTGTACAGACACTAAAGAAAGAAAAATAATGATCGTAATACTCATAAAATATATTAGTGTGTGTATTTCTTTCGTTCGTTT